TCTAACTTTTTTGGTTCTCGAGTTGAAAATAGGAAACAGAAAGTGCAAACAAGCGGACCCACACATACAGGCAATCTCTTGCCAATATATGCTTTTATGCAAAAACACGCAAAAAGATATATCGATATTAGTTTTACCTGATACCTAGGGTCGAGAGTTTCCATCGTCACTGCACCTCGTCGTGCAGCAAATGCATCCTTGGCGTAATGCATTACGCTTCGATAGTCGTATCGAATCCCATATGTGTTGCCAATCCTCGACGGTACTTTTGCGAATTGCAAATACATGTCTAAACGCAGGTTTGTTTTTATTTTGAAACTTTGATCACTTCCAACAGCTTTTTTTAAGCAACGCCCGTGAAGAAGGAAATCATCTACAGCCCTATCAGCAAGCGGTAGTTGTTGGCATTTGCCATCCTTGGAATACTTTCGAGAACTTCTGCCTCTCACAGAGAGTGCGTGCGGAAGGTGCTTTAACTGCTGATTTCTGTTTTAGTCAGTTATAATTTGTAGCCTGGTTCCTAGACCATGCACAATACCCTTTCCAGTTACTTGGGCCTAAGCTGCACCTTTTGTTGGTCGTCTGTTATCGATCCAGACCTTCTTCTCACCACAAACTGAAGTTTTAAAAATAACGATAAATCCCTTCTTGTTACTGGTAACGCGGACACACAGCTGTTTAACATGGCACACAGCCGCCGAAACTATCACTCCGGATGGAAAATTTTCGCAGTCATTTCTCTCTACCCATCGGTTTTGCGCAGACTGTGTTATCAAAGGGTGGACAATCTGCATATCATTGCCATTAGATGATAATGACCATCCATATCCTTTATGGTATCTCATTTCTGGCCAATTTTTTGTTTTTGAATTTCTGTATAGCTGAATTTAGTATTGACCACATCTCTCGTCCTCCGCCCACTTCGTTACCTTTGGCCAGCAGGCCTTCTACTTGAAAATTAGATCTTCATTTTTTCAAGTAGCTATTTTTCATTGCGGGCAAGATGAAATGACATCTAAAGTCATAGCCCTAGAATAATTAAAGGTAAAAACTGATTTGAGGTTCGTACCTCTCTGAAAAGGGGCGGACGATGCAAACTTCACAGAAGTTTTTGACATCGAGCCTAAAATATGTAGTTTAAAAAGGTTTTTTTTTGTACTGCACTTTCTAGAATAGCTTAAGATTCGTACCCCTCTAGAAACCATATCACACACTTATAAAAAGGAGTTTTCGTTCATTAAAACAAATAAACGAATTTATACTGTAGCAAGCGCACACTTAAAAAAAAACATTGCTCTCTATGATTCCGAGTCATTTTGTACGAAAAAGATGCAAAAAGTCGAACTAAAAGCATATGTTTTTGTTAAAAAAGTGCAAAAAAGTGCAAAAAGCAAAAATTGAAGGAAAGGTCTCAAATGCGTTAGTAGAAATTACTTAAACGGCTAAATGTAATGATGCAGATGAGAGAAGTCCAGAAAAGAGAAGAATGGAGAAGTTGCCAGTTGTATCAGTATGGGAAATCACGCCGTGATGAAACAACTGCTGATAAAAGTATCATGGAAATGAAGCTAGTTGTTCTCAAATGATAATTAATCGCTACAACAACGGTTTCAATACAGCGTAAGCATTTTTGGATTCTCTAACGATTACTAGTTACCAGGCTGGATATTTTCATAATGCACTTTGATGAACTGGTCACGATCGCTTCTCATATGCTCATGCCATAAGCCAACTGCGTGAAGCAGTTCGTGGAGCACAATGTCATACTCCATACAGGTCGCTTGATTGTTCGCTTCTAGCATCACGACGTTTCGGCCCGGAAGACGACCAACAGAGGTGTAACATCTGAAACGCAAGTGCGTTTGTAACTAGAAAATCAGGAATCTTTCGGTTCGTCGATTTCATAAGTTAGGAATGAAAGCATGAGTGAAAGAAGTAGGAAAGACGAGCCTACTTTGTCAATCAGCAAAATCGATCATGTAGTCACATTTTCAAAAATTCTTCCACTTGATTATTTCTTAGCCCTTGAGAGGATTAAAAATCTTTTAAAAGAAACTGATACATTTTTTAAAAGAAATTAATCTCAGGTACTTTGAAGATTTTGTTATGATACTGGAGGTTAAGGGTTCGACTCCGTCAGTGTGACAGCCAAGCGAATACCCTCTGTTTCCTGTAGCAGTGCTACCATTTGGCAATTTTTGCCGTAAAGCAGCACCTTTCATCCATTTCAATGCGCTTTTTGCAAACAATGGTACGATAAACACAAACAGCAGGTTTATGCCTGCATTTTTGTATGTGCATCTCATTTATCGGGTGACGGAGCCTCAGGAAAATGAGAATTCTTGGAATCACATTAGTTTTAAGTCACTGGCTATCGGCTAAGAATCCGTAGCGTGTAAGGGTGTAAAACAACAATATAAATCAGGAACAAAGTTGAAGCTAGTAAGAGCTGATATACCCTTCGCCGTATACGTTTCGCAAGTCGAGGAATGAGCTTTCTCGCGAGCGTTTCCTCAAACGAATACATGTGTTCTTTTCAATTGCACTCATTGCGAGATGAATAATTTGTCGTTCTTCTCTGTCTAGAAATAATGTCTCCAGTGAAATTGATCAGTAATTATAATGAAATAATTTATACAGTAATAACTGTCGTAAGCGGGTTTCTTTTTGAAAAAGTTATGGATCCAAAGGGAACCGAACTACTCCCCTTCACATTCTGACGCTACGTCCTACCCACTATACCATAGCTGTTTGTGTTGTATCGCGTTCCTTTACACCGTCCGGTTGCTCGGCCTTGTGCAGCACATCCTTTCAACAGCTTTTTGCTTTTTGCGGGTTTTCCGCAGCAAAAACTAGTCCCAGCATATATATATATAAATTATATATATGCGAAAAAATTATATATGTATATAAAAATTTGACGATTCCTCAGAAACATCTGAAGTTTCAATTGAAACAGTAAAGCTCGAATA